CACCCCCACAGCCCCTGGGGTGGATCCTGACCAGCCCCATGGAACCCAGGACTCATCCCACTCAGCCCCACGGCACCTTGGCAGCAGCCAGGGCGCGGGGCGGCAGCTCGATGCGGGGGAAGGAGTACATGGCGCCCTGCACGGGGTTGCAGTGGATGCCGGGACACTTGTTGAAGATCTCCTGGGTGAGACGGGCCTTCTCCGCCAGGGCGCTGAGCACCGCCTTCTTCTCATGCCGGGACAGGGACATCTCCTCCCATCCCCATCCCATCCCATCCCCATCCCATCCCATCCCCATCCCCATCCCACCCCCATCCCATCCTCATCCCATCTCCCTCCCCATCCTGTCCCCATCCCCATGCCATCCCCATCTCCATCCCATCCCATCCATCCCATCCCCATCCCCCGGGCTGTGCCGGCCCCTCCGCCGCGGGCAGTGGGGTGATGTCATTCCCGTTGCTGCCAGCCCCTCGGCCGCCTGCCAGCCCGCCATCTGCCCGTGCCCAACGGGGGCTCCGCTGCCTCCCCCCGACGGCAGCCCCCCCTCTCCCCGGTTCCTCCCCGTCCCCGGTGGGCTCTGGCAGCCGCCGGGGCCGTAACGGAGCCCCAGCAACCCGGTGCTGGCCCGTCCCGGGGGAATGGGAGGAGCGGGCTCCCTTCGGAGGATAATAAACTCTGGAATGAGGGTGTGGGCTGCTGCTCCTCACCCCCCCCTCATTCCAGCTGCATGATGACACCACCTCCCGCCATCTCCCTGCCTTCTCTTTTTTTTTCTTTTTCTTTCTTTCCTTCTCTCTCTCTCTCTTTTTTTTTTTTTTTTTTTTTTTTTCTGTCCCAAAAATCCTATTTTGAAGACAACCAAAAGTAGAACGTGTTCCGGGTGTGGCTGCATGTGATTTTACCCCATAGCCAAAGTGGGGGGGGACCGCTGAAGGGGGAAGACACAGCGTCTGCTGCTGCAGGGAGCGGAGACCGAGGGCTGCAGTAAGTGATGGGGACCCTATCTATTCTCTCCCCGCTCCTCCAGATAATTTAAAAGTCGAAGGCAGCGGAGGGAGATGATTGATAACAAGGAGAAACTTTCCTTTGCATGCTGGGTGTATGTGAGGAGGGGGGCTTAGCCACCTGGAGGAGAAAAGAGATGGAGACGAGTAAGGAGGTGGAAAGAGAAAGAAAACAGATGGAGTTTTGTGTTGGGTCCAAAATGTTTCAGGAACACCCAGAAACCTGGCCAGATGAGGAGGGAGACAGGTGGGAGGGAGGCTGGACCCCCGTTTGGCTGGACCCCCCTTTTGGCTGGACCAAGTGGTCTTGAGAGGGAAATGGTGAAAAGCAAAGAGTCTCTGTGTTGTTATAGGGAAGGGTGCTCCTGCCTTGGCTTTCCTCTGACTCCTCTCTCCTCCACTCCACAGGGATGAAGACCTCTGGAGCCTGTATACTGTTGTGTCTCTTAGCACTCTCCTTGTCCCCAGCTGGTGAGTCCTTACGCCGCCGGGGGATTTCTTCTCCCCCCCGGCCCTGCAGGCTGATGTGCAATGACCTCAGGAGAAAGCCAGAGACACGTAGATGGACAGTGAAGGGGGAAGGACTGAACAGGAAAGGCAAGGTGCATATAGGATTGTAAGGGAAGATTTAGGAACTGGGGACTCCTTCCCGTCCCTGGTCCCCTCTCCAGTAAGTGCTGGGAGCTGCAAGAAGCAGAGGTCCACAGCCTCTGCTGCAGGGGTGTTTGGGGGAGCAAAACACCCAGGTGGAGTTGAGGAAGAGGGTTAGCTGTGCTTCGTGCTTACCGTGGACTGTTGTGTCACCTGCGTTTGCGTGACCTGCAGAGCCTTGCCCAGCGCTCCACAAACCTTGTTCTGTCACAGTTGTGAAACGTTTGCTGGTACTAGTGGTTCCTGCTGGAATGGCCCCATTTTAGGCCACTCGGTTACCAGGAGCTGTTGTAGTTTTTTCTATATCTGTTTTGAGAAACCTAACTTTCTGTAGTTCAAACCACCCTCTGCTTTCGTCGTTGTTCTGTTTTGTTACTCCACTTCTTTGTTACTTTGGCAAAAGTTCAGGTGGGATCAAATTTGTTAAAAAAAACCCAAAGCAAAACCAAGTGAAAAACCAAGAGGGTAGGATCAGACATTATAGTGGGACAATTCAGGATGGAATAATTCAGTGAATGGAAAAAGCTTCACCTGGGAAAGGCTGTACATAGGAGACAAATGACTGCATCTATCACATTCAAATGGGGTCTTTCCAGTCAGCTCTCCTTGGTCCTCCCCTCATGCTGAAGCCTGATTCTGCTCCCAGTAGAACTTTTTCCTGTAAAGGTGCCCCGTATAAGATGTCATATTTGTGACTGTGAACCAGGAAAGGAAGGCATCCAGGAGATGATGTGCTTGGAGGTGGCCTGCGAAGTTAGATGTGGAAAAAAATGCTGTGGTTTTTATGACGGGTAAAGGAGGCCTGAAAGGAAGATTTCTTACTTCTGTGCATTTTGTTTTAGCATTTCTGTTGGGCTTTTTTTGTTTAACTTGGAAAAATGCAGGAATCATCAGCCAGTCTGTCGTTGCCTCTTCTGGTTTTGGGTGAGCTGCAGGCTGGGTGAATTGGGGTTGCGGTTTTCTCAGACCTCAAGGATGAATTTATTGCAACATGAACAGTAAAACCCAAGCGTTTATAAAGCATATGAACTGGGTACCCGAGCAAATATGAATTGAGGTGATTGAGAATTTGATAAGCAAGTCACCTCTTTTGTCTCTTTTCCTCATATACACTTCACTTGTGTTCTGTTGTTTTAGATTGGACCAGTTTTCTAGTTATCTCCTAGGAAGGGGAAAAAAAAAAACTAGTAAGAGCTGACTTTTTAATGTTACAAAAAAGGGGGGGAGCCTCCCCCCTTTTCCCATATGACTCCTGGTTCAAATCCAGCACCACTGGCTTCTGCAATGGTTTCAGAATTTCTGTCTTTCTGTCTGTATCAGAAACAAATGAGAAAGTGTTGGATATAATTTTTTTTTCCCTCTACTTGTTACCATTAGGAGAGTAGCCAGAACAGGGAAAGCTTTGGGCTGCAGTACATCGTGCACGTAAGTTATTACAGACGTCTGGCCGTCGCTGGGTCAGCCTGAGCCCTTGCTGGCAGCTGGGTGGGGAAGGGAACAGCAGGGTCCAGGGACTCCTGTAAGGCTGCAGAGCAGGATTATACTGGGTTCCCAAGGGTCCCTCCTCAGCCGGCGAGTAACTGCTCTTGGAATGAGGAAGAGCGAGGACAAAAGCTCCAGACCTGGTAGTTTTTGCCCACGCGGTGCTCCCACTAAAGCTAAAGGCTGAGTTCCTAAGATGCACCAGGGTGAGCTGGTTTTTGGGCTGGTCCTGCACACATCCCTGCAGTGCCCCAGATCATTGGGGTTTTTTTCTGCCAACTCCTTCCTTCATCCCACCCCAGTTATGCAGACGTTTCCCTCCTCTGTGGCTAGCACAGCAGGAAATATTTTCCTATTTCTGGCTGCTGTAGGAAGCAGCTCTCTCCCCCTTTATATTTGGACAGGCAAACAGTCCAGCTCAGTTTCAGTTTCTCCTCTTCCACACAGCATGCACAGCCAAACCTTCATTGTTCTCCCTCTCCAGAGCACCCAGGGGCTGAGAGGGGAAAGATCTTCTGCTTTGTGCTCCGTACCGAGGCAGGATGATGGACCAGATAACTACATACCCAAGGAGCTACATGACCTGCAGTCTGTTTCTTACTGTGCCAATGACTCAATCTGTGGCCCCAAGCAAATAATTTCCACGTCTCAGCTGTGTCTTTTATAAGATGGAGTTAGGGATTTTGACCAACCTCCGGAGCAAAGAGGCAACGTGCAATTTGTGGTCAAAACGCATCAAATGGGGTTTCAGAAATGCAAAGTCCAGTAGCAGATCCAGAGGTATTTAGTGTCTGTCCCTGTGCCTGGCCTTTGATCCTGGTGGAGGCAGCAGGGATAGGATCAGGACTTGCTGTATCCCCAAGCCTTTGAAGAACAAACCCAGACAGAGTGGAGGCTGAGGCAGAGAGGAGATAATTTCTCTCTTCAGCAGAGGGCAGTGGTGTCTCCTGGACATCATCTCAAAAAAAAAAAAAAAAAAAAAA